TGCAGAAAGAAAAGCTTTGCAGAGAGTGGTGAAGGCTGCACAGAAATCTGTCGGAATCAGCCTCCCCACCATCACAGACATCTACACCTCCAGATGCAGGAAGAGAGCCACCTGCATCATGAAGGACCCCACTCACCCAGCACACACACTTTTTGCCCCACTCCCCTCAGGAAGGAGGTTAAGGAGCATTAAGTGTAGAACCACTAGACTGAGGAACAGCTTCTACCCTGAGGCTGTTAGACTCATGAATCTCTAACCAGGATAATCACTGTGAAAAACCATATCATGTTGCTGCTGATCTGTTTCATGTTGCTGCTGATCTGTTTCAATGTTGATGTGTTCATGCGTGCACATCTGCTCACAGACTCATGTTCATGTTTGTGCTGATGTTCAATGTTTTATGTTATGAGTGCTTAGTGTATATTTAGTTGATGTTTTTCTTAGTTCATATCTTAGATGTTATTACTGTTTTTCTTATACATTTTATTGTTGGATGTAACTGGGACCCTGTGTACATAATTTTGCTCCACCACATGTACCACATGAGGTGCGAATGACAATAAAGAAACTCTGACTCTGACTCTGATTTCTTTCTTCTGTTGTCTGTGCTTGTTTAGGATGGGGAAATACGACAACGTGAAGATTCAACTTAACATACTGGTTGTCTTAAATAGACTATTATTACTAATTGACATTTCATAACATACTGTACGTAAGTGTAATATTTTAAGGGTCTTATATATCTTTATGTCTCATTACTTATAAAGGCAGATTCACTCGTATACCACCTCTTATTTTAAAGACAACATGTAAAGCTTGAGTTGCTTCACACTCATCATGCCAAATATCATGCATCTGTCTTTGAAATATGTTCTGCAAGCATCTGATCTCCTTGTCAACACGTGCACCACAGTGTGCTGTGGCCTTTTCTGACATTTTGACTGATGGTAGCCGACACAGTTCCTCTCCTGCAGCACATCTGTTCCTCGTGCATCCTTGTGTCACTGATAGAAATTCAAATGTTTTTTAAAATTGGAAACCTACATTTTGCATCACAACACATTAGTAACAATACAATTTAACAATTTTACTATGCAATTTAGATACAAATAAACACTTGCTGCAGTGGTTATGCTTACCAGTAAATATGAGTGAATAGAGGCCCAAAGAACAAATATCTATTCCAACGGTGAACTTTGTGCAACCTTAGTGTATTTTTTAAAAACATAGCACCTCACACTTCTTTGCAATTAAATGGACTGCAATTGTGATAGCGTCGGAAAGCTTTTTGCTTTCATTTAACCTTAATGCAATTAGTTTTCCAATATGATTTAATTATAGAAGTTTTTTTTAAGTATCTGCCAATTCAAAGTAGTCTGCTCCTCATATAAATAATGTTAACTTATGTTTTATATATATGAATGTTTCTGTTCAGTGACCAGAGATGACTTCTGTTGTGACTTGGTTCTATATAAATAAACTGAATTGCACTAAATAAAAAAAATCCTTGGTGGCTCCCCCTTGTTCAGTTTTGTGTCCCCTGCATGTGTTTTTGCCAAACTTTGTATCACTATGGGATCAGTTAGCATCCGTCTCCCAATCGTTTGATTTTCCATTTCTTTGTAGAAGGTTTGTGGCACATTGGAGTTTATAATGTCTCCTTTTGCATGTAGTCCCACAATTTGTTTGTTTTCTGTCACATTTAACACTGTTGTCTCTTTTTTGGCAGCCATCCCATGTGTTTAGTTATTTCTCTGTTCTTTTTGTACCTCTGGACATTTTGTATCACCCTTCTGAGAGTGACTTTTACCTTTTTTTGTCTGATTTTGGTCCTACTGATTTTCCATTTCCTTTGTTTGTCTTTGGGTATTGCTCATTTAGCGTTGCCTTTTATGATTGCAGTTTTATGTCTTTCACTAACATTCTGGGACAAAAGCAAACTTATTTTTACTGACTGCAAATTAAATGCTCCAAATGTGTGCACAAGGATGTCATGAACAACACTGTCTGTTCCAGGGGCGATTCTAGAATCTGACTTTAGGGGTGCTTAGCCCCCAGTGCTGACAATGGCTTTTTGCTTGAACAATGTGGTGGTCACTGGCATCAGCATTCATAATGCGTGTGTGTGTGTGTGTGTGTGTGTGTGTGTGTGTGTGTGTGTGTGTG